TGAACTTGAAAATAAAGTGAATTATGTGGGTATTGGGTACAGTGCTCTATAGATGTTTAGTCAAGTTATGTTTATTGCATGACTCATCTATGTCCTAACTGTTGTTTTTCCTCCTTCTCTACCTGCTCCCCCTTTCCCTCCTCCTGCTCTGTCTCCCCTTCCTTTTTTAAACTTTTTTTTAGGGGAAGGCTCCTTGATCTAAAAGTTACAGATAGAACTTTTATCAGTTGAATACAAACTTAGAATTGCTATTGGACCTTTTATCTTTGACTTTAGTAACATAGCTCAATGGTGATTTACAGCAGAATAGTTTTAGTGTAGTGGTAGAAAAGGTGGGGGCAAAATCCTGTTTAAGAAGGGATGGAAAGAGAGAAATTGCAAAAAGTTTGCCATATGTCATGCATATTTTCTCCCAATTTTGTTTGTTTTTGATATTCAGGTGTTACATTTAAATGTAGCCAGATGTATTATTACCTTTTTCTTTGTGATTTGCTATTTGTTCTTTTTTGCTTGTGAAGCTTAGCTGACCAGTTAGCTCAGTTGGTTAGAGCATGGTGCTGATAACACCAAGATCTAGGGTTTGATCCCTGTACTGGCCAGCCACCGAAAAAAACCCAAAAATCAAAAAACAACAAAAAAAAGCCAAATAAAGCTTCTTACCTTCCTAAGAACAGATATTCGCTTGTTCATGGAACTTATATGTTTTAGAATAGTGCCATCCGATAAACCTTTCCATACAAATTAGTTTTTTGTGCTGTTACTTTTTGTGCTATCCAATATGATAGTCACTAACACATGTAGCTACTGAGCACTTGAAATGTGATTAGTTTGAATGAGGGACTGATTTTTAAATTTTACATACATTTCTCAAAATTAAACTTTTAATTTTGTGATATTATGGATTCACATGCAGATGTAATAACTAATACAGAGAAATCTAATGTAGTACAAAATCACAATCAGGATATTATTCTTAATACAGTCAAGATATAGAACATTTGTATCACCACAAGGATCCCTCAGGGTGCCCTTTTTTTTTTTTTTTTTTTTTTTTTTTTTTTTTTTTTCGTGTCCGGCAACAAATTCCCACCCCTCCTTTTTC